TTTAATGCACAATATTGTAAACTGATAGATTCAAAAACTCGATAATCGAGTTTTTGTTTGATTTTGCCGAGCACTAACTACAACCACAGAGCCAAAACACAAAATCAAACTAGTCCTTGCACTGCTACTGCAGCCATGGAGCCAAATACAAACAACAGGTTTTTACATTGCTATTATAGCATAGAGCCTAACATAACAGTAGATCACTATGCGTTACTGCATTCACAGTACCCAAAACCTTCTTTATAGTTTTCCTTCCTTTAGCGAACTCATATAGATGCAACAAATATTGCTTATTCAAAACCGGGCAGGTAAGGGAGAGCAATAAAGCTAGCCTTTACAAGGTGAGTGATAGTGAAGAGAAAGATAGCCCTCTTCTACCAAGACAGATAATCTTAAATATCCTATACTACCTGTAAACCTTCCTACACTCTTGCATCATCGATTTCCACAGCTATTTACCAAATTACTAATAATTATGAAAATACGAATTTCAAATAATCATATGCAAAGATAAAAGAATAACTATAAAAGGATATATAACAAATCTGAAACATGATAGATCATAAAGTCATCTGATCTTACAATAATGATCGCTCTGTCACTTTGTTAACAGGCTTTTTAAAATATTTTGTTTTATATTTATTAAATCTTCGAATACTATATTAATTTTTATAAATTGTTTTTTAATTTCAATATCTTAAATAATAAAAGAAATGCTTATGGATTCAAACTATTTATTAAGTTTGTTAAAAATAACTAGAGTGATAGATTATTTCTGTAGGTTAGGATCTATGCACTGCATTGCTAATTCAATATAGTAATTAGAAGTTCTAGGTGTGTATTTTAATCAAAATCCCAAACAAATTGATGTATCAAGTCCTTCATCAAATGGAATATTATCAAAAGGTCTTTGCCCAACAGATATCTCTATTATAAAATAAATATTAGATATTTGTATAAACAATAATTTGTGAGATAATACTTCTGGCATGACATAAGATAAAGCACTATAAATTCCTTTAACTTTACTTTTAATAGATGATAAAAATTCTAAATCTACAACATATGCATTATTTATATCTTGTTGTAAAATATTATATAAATCTCTATAAATATATCTTGAAAGTGAATCATATTAATATCTAAATTATACACTGTAATAATTTCACTTTATTTTTCCAAGTTATTTGTACAACTTCATAAAAATTTTTTACTTAAAGATTGTTTTTGCACATATTTTAACACAAAAGTATATTCTCTATTAATATCTTTCATTATTTAATAACATTTCAAAAATGAATACATATCTCTAATTTAAATTAAGCATTTAAAGAGCAATAGTATCATGTAAATTTTACTTTTGTTAAGCCAATTTACATGACAAATAGTCGCAAATCCACTTCACTATTCCTATAATATTTTTAAATTTATT